CTAGGCACTTGAATACGTGGTTAGCCAGGTACAGTGGCTCACGCCTCTAATCCCAGCAGCTCCGGAAGCTGAGGCAGGGGGATTGCAGGTTTGAAGCCAGCCTCAGAAATTTAGTGAGGCTGAAAGCAACCAAGTGAGACCCTGTCTCAAAATTTAAAAACGGAAAGGACTGGGGATGTGGCTCGGTGTTTAAGTGCCCCTGGGCTCAAAAAATTAAAAAAAAAAAGTGTTGTTAGACATTCAAACCGAATATAAGGGAGTGGGAGAGATGCTCCAAGGTTCACAGGTGGCAATAGAGGACCCAGACCTGACGGCAGTGGGGGTCACCTCCAGGGTGGATCACCCCAGCAAGAGCAGGGACAACAGGCAGCAAACGTGAAGCATTTCCTGAGTCCTGCTGTGTTCATCTTGACCCTGATCAGAGTCAAAGTGACAAGAATAAGGCGGGCAGGTGAGGCCAGAGTAGCCACCCTCAGCAGTGACAGCCAGAGGTACAGTCACCTTGCAGAGGTCGTGCACGATTTGCCCTGGTGCAGGGCATGGCCAGGCTCCACTGGGAGAAGAAATCAGTCCTCTGTCCCCTGGCTCCAGACGCGGGTGACTCAAAGTGCCCGTGTGGTGGGCCTGGGTGTATCGGCAGCCATCGACCCACATTCCCAACTCACGTGTGTCAGGGGAGCTACAGAGGGAGACTCGCGACACAGATGGCTCTTTTTAGGAGGTTTCTGCCTGAGTGGAAAGAGGGAATGTGCTTAGAAAGCTCTTCTAGGTGTGGGGAAGGGGGATGTGGGGAGAGGTGAGGCCGGGGAGTCTGTTGAGGAACGTCTGGTTCGTGGTCACAGCCAGAGCCTCTCTGCAGCTGGCCTGCCCCCAAAGCCCCCAGGAGCTACCCCACATGGTGCTGCTGGCGGTGGGGGCCACTGTTCCCCTAGGCCCTGCTCCATTCCTGCTGTGACAGGAGAGGTACTTGGTTTGTTTGTTACTGGGGATTGAACCCAGGGATGCTTAACCACTGAGCCACATCTCCAGCCCTTTTTAAAATGTCAGTCATTTATTGATTGATTCATTGATTGATTATTGTAGATGGACACGATTTATTTTACTTATTTATTTTTATGTGGTGCTGAGGATCGAGCTCAGGGCCTCACCCATGCTGGGCAAGAGCTCGACCACTGAGCCACAATCCCAGACCCTTATTTTTTGAGACAGGGACTTGCTAAGTTGCTTAGGGCTTCGCTAAATTGCTGAGGCTGACTTTGAACTTGTGATCCTCCTGCCTCAGCCTCCCCGAGCTGCCGGGACAGAGATTTTATTAAAGGCCCAGGAATTTCAAAAGGAAAGGAACTTGAAAAACTTTGAAAGCCATAGCTTAGCTTACTCATTTTTGAACCTGGGGAGAACCTGCCCCCAGGCTTCCCCAAGACTTAGACCCCAGCTTCTTCAATAGAGGACCCCTGGGGACTTGTAGATCTCTCCCAGTCTCTGGTTCTGACTGCATGAGAAACTCCTGCGCCCAATACCTACATTCACCAAAGGACACTATAGCGGAAAACTGAGAACAACCATCGACCTAGCCATCGACTGGCGAATGGATAAGCAAACTTAGAATCTTTTTACGATGGAATAATACTTAGTAACCAAAAATACCTATTGATACCTACTAGAGATAGGAGGGGGAACACAAAGTACACACTGTGGTGATAGCAGTCAGAATGAACACGTGGGAATGGGCAGGGGGTTGATTGGAAAGGGAGATTCCCGGGATGTTGACCATATTCTGTGACTGTGTCTGGATGGCAGGTAACGTGGATTTATACACAGACACACACACACACCCACACACGCGCGCGCGCGCGCTAGAACGCACTGAGTTGTAACCTAAAAACCCGTGCACTTTACTATATGCTTATTACACACCAAGAAAAAAGGAAGAAGTAAAATACTGACAGCTGGTCCCACCCCCAGGGATGGATGTGACCCATGTGGAGTGTGGCCTGGTCAGCGGACCTTCGGAAGCCTTCCAGGGAGTTCTGATGAGCTGCAGGGCTGACCCCTCCTTGCCCTGCTCTGCACCCAGGGCTCTGGTGCCCTGTCCCTGCCCTTGGCTCCCTCAGGAGACCTCATTGCGAAAGGGCAGCCTGGGGCAGTGGGAAGCCTGCAGGAAGCCCAGAGAAGGAAACGTCCATTTCTCTAAAAACCTCAGGGGAGATGGTTTATTTCTGTTTTGGGTCCCACGGATTGAACTCAGGGGCACTCAACCACTGAGCCACATCCCCAGCCCTATTTTGTATTTTGTTTAGAGACAGGGTCTCACTGAGTTGCTGGCTTTGAACTCGAGATCCTCCTGCCTCAGCCTCCCAAGCTGCTGGGATTACAGGTGTGCACCACGGAGTGGGTTTATTTGTTTTCTTTTGAACTCGCTGCAGGTGATTATACCTTCATCTCCTGGGTTAGATCTCATAGCAATAGAGTGGGGTGGGGTGGGAAGGGGGTTGGTCTTTATAAAGGCACTCTCTAAACCACACCGCACCTTTAATACCATCACTACTGCTTAATTGCCTCTGGGGCTTTTTGTTACCTGTTGAAGAAAATTTGACCACCTCCCTGAGGCCACGTGCCTGTGGGACACCAGTCCTAGCCACTATGGCCGCCTGTCAATCAAGCTCTCTGTGGCCCCCAGGCCTTCCAAAGACATGTTTCCCCTTCCCAGTTCTCATCCGGAGCCTGATGCCTGCTTTGGGGCTCTCGGCTGAAACTTCACTCCTCACTTAAATCACTCTCTGCCACCACCTACGCTCTGACTATGTTCTCTATAGGTTTTTTTTTTTTTTTGGTACCCAGGATTGAATCCAGGGGCGCTTAACCACTGAGCCACATCCTCAGGCCTTTTTAATATTTTATTTAGAGACAGGGCCTCCCTGAGTTGCTTAGGGTCTCACTGCTGAGGCTGGCTTTGAAACCCCAAGCCTCCTTCCTCAGCCTCCTCCGCTACTGGGATTACTGGCATAATCTCTGGCTTTTCCATAGTCCTTGACATACAACAGGAATATCCGTTGCTTGGGGTGTGATCTGTGTATGCTCCTGTCCCCGTTTTAGCCCCACCACATGGGCCAGTGCCAAAGCCTCAGAGCCGAACTGCTGAATGGAAGTCAGCAAACTCCATAACGCGGGCACTGCCATCTGAGAAGGCTTCTGTAACGGCAGAGGTTCTATTATTCACTCCCTTCATGACCGCCTTCCATTCCCTCTGCTCTCCAGGAGGCTGCTGTTTATCCCTGAAATATTTAAGTGCAGTAAGTCACTGTATTAAAGGCTAGAGAGGGCACAGTCCCTGCCCTCAAGATAGTGCATCCAGGGATGGATATGCCCCCAGGAGCAGCACCAGAGAGGGGGAGGTGGAAGTGCTGTGGGTTCTTCCTCCTTCTCTCCCCTCTCCACATCGTCTCCAGGGGATCTCAGATCCTCACAGCATCTTGGATGACGTCCTTCCCTAGCCTAACCCAACTCTCTCCCACAGGACACAGGCTTAGCTCTATCTGAAATCACCCGAGAACCTGAAAAATCTGTGATGAAAGGCTAGGGTTGTAGCTGGGTGACAGCGTCTGCTTAACGTGCACAAGGCCCTGGGCTCCATCCCCAGCACACACATACAAATGTGACATGAGGTTAACAGCTTAACTGTGTACAGAGTGAGTCATACCAATAAATCAGGAATCAACACTGAAAAGTAAGTAATAAAAATGAAAAGACAATTTATAAAAGATGGAACAAATATTCTAAAAAGAAAAAAATGTTTAACCACATTAGTAATTATATATATATATATATATATACACACACACACACACACACATTTAAAAAGCAGAAAAATTAGCATTTCATTTTTTAGAATGGCCAAAAAGCATAAGAATGATATCCTTCAATATCAGCAGGGATAATGAGAGTGAGCTTTTTTTTTTTTTTTTTTTTTTGATGCTGAGGATTGAACCAAGGGCCTTGTGCATGCAAGGCAAGCACTCCACCAACTGAGCTATAGCCCCAATCCCCTAATGAGAGTGAGCCTTAATAACTGCTGGCATGAGTGTAACTGATAATGCTTTATGTAACTCAACACCATGCATGTAAGAAGCCTGAGATGCATGCTTTCTCACTCAGTAGTTATACATTCAGGATTAAGCTAAAGAAAAATACTGGGCAAGGGTGCAAATATGTGTGTAGCATTGCTTATGACTGTGATTTTTTAAAAATAGTTATAAAGCGTTTATTCAACACTGGATTACTATTCAGTCATCAAAATTGTAATTTTTAATATGAAAAGATTCATGACATTCTTTTAAGGAAAAAACAGCTTGCAAAACATATCATACATTACGTACAAAAATCCTATTTTTGTTAACTTTTTTTTTTTTTTTTGTACTAAGTATCGAGCTCAGGAACACTTACAACAGAACGACGTTTCTAGTCCTTTTTATTTTGAGTCGGTGTCTCCCTGAATTGCTTGCGACCTCATTAAGTTGCTGAGGCTGGCCTTGAACTTAGCAGTCCTCCGGCCTCAGCCTCCCGAATCACCGATATTACAGGCGTGAGCCACTACGCCCGGCTTGTTAAAAGTTTTAAAAATAGTAATACATTTGTGTGGGTGCATGTGAGTTTGGAAGAACATATACTCAAAACAATGATTATCTTTTGTTGGGGAACTATTTTTCTTTGTGTATTTTTTTATTTATCTGTGCGTTTTCTCTCGTCCTACTCAAACAGCATATACCACTTGCATAAGTTAAATTACCGATGGGAAAGACACGTGTTTCTAAAGACACCGTCTAAATATAAGCGACCATTTATCTGTTCATAAAGCACGCAGGCTCCCAAGCTCCTGCCCGGCGGCGGTTTCCTGGCTCCTGAATCCCAGAAGCCGATACTGGTCGCCAGAGCCTCCCACTCTTCAGGCAATGCCGAGGACACCCCAGGCAGCGCGCGGGTCCTGGTTGTGGGCGGGGCCGCGCAGCCCGGAAGAGACGCCGCGCCGCGCATGCCCCTTCCTTTCCAGCCTCGGCCTCGGACCCTGAAGCCTCCGCGGTGAGTTCCTCTGGCGTTCGGGTTCCATCTGCCACCATCGGGCCGTCCTGTCGTCATAGCGGCCGTGTCTCCCTAGGGTTTGGACCGAGGACCTCTCTGCCCCTCTTGGCACTCCTATTTCTAAGCGGCGAGAAGGGTTGGGGGTGTTGTTCAGGGAGTTAGAGGGGTGCTGGTAGGCGAAGTTCGGCGTCCGGATGGCGGAAGACGGAGGAGGGGAGTTTGAAGCCCCAGTGTGGCGGGGACCAGCCAGGCGAGGCTAGGGAGGCCGTACCCCACCTGCACGCGTTTCCTTCGCTGGAGGACCTTTCGCCTGGCCCTGGAGCTCTAGTTTGGGGTAGGGAATTTTAGGGGATGACGGTTGCGGGAACCTTAGCCCTTCTGTTGGGGGTCAGTGATCTGTGAGGCATCGGTGGGGGGGGCTTTTCCACTTCCGGGTCCTGCTGCGTGCCTTAAAGTGCAGATGGGAGAATCCCCACTGGGTAGGTCTTGATGACCCCCCAGGACCGCTAGAGTACCATGTCTGCGTACTCCCCACTGCCTGTACCGTTGTGGTTGTCAGAGCTTGTGAAGTTGGATCAGATACGTGTCCATGTCCCTGTTTTAACGTCCTGGCCAGTATTCCATCTGAAACATTAGGTGGTGTGGGAGAGGGCTGGTCTCCAGTGAGTTTATTCTGCTGTTTTTTTTCAGCATGTCTTCTATGGTGTGTTTTGAATTGTCCATCCACTGGGCAGTGATTTTGTGGTCACTTAGGGTCATCAACTTGGTTACTGGGATCCTAGCTACATTGCTCAGAAACGTTCTTCATGATCACTTTCTTGCAGATGTTGATGCCCAAGAAGAATCGGATTGCCATTTATGAACTCCTTTTTAAGGAGGGAGTAATGGTAGCCAAGAAAGATGTCCACATGCCCAAGCACCCAGAGCTGGCAGATAAGAATGTACCCAACCTTCACGTCATGAAGGCCATGCAGGTATGGACTGGGATGGAAATGGGGAGATTTCCCACTAACGTTCAAGGTAGATTCCAACAAGAGATCAGGGTAGCTGCTTGCTTCCTTGAAGGACACTGATGTAGATATATGCTGTGAAAACTTGTCTCTATCCCCTTTGAAGTGCAGAGTTTCCAGCTTCTAATTATGTTCTTTGTTTTGTTTTGAGATGGGATCTCTCACTATTGCACAGTCTGGCCTTAAACTCTTGTGTGGAGGGGATCCTTGTGCCTCAGCCTCCTAAGTAGCTGGGACTACACACACTCGCCACCATGCCCAGCCTTGTTATGTCTAAACAGGAGTTTTCTGCCTTAGTCTCTCAAGTCTCGAGGCTACGTGAAGGAACAGTTTGCTTGGAGACACTTCTACTGGTACCTTACCAACGAAGGCATTCAGTATCTCCGCGATTACCTCCACCTGCCACCTGAGATTGTGCCTGCCACTCTACGCCGTAGCCGACCAGAAACTGGCCGACCTCGGCCCAAAGGTAGGTGCCTAATTAATGCCACCAAGGGCCTGCTCTGAAGCTGCTTTTTTCCTGAGGGAAACAGTGTATGTGAAATGGTATGATCTTTTGTGTGGGGGACAGAAGTGTTATTAAAACTTATCATTGGTGTTAGCTTTAGAGGGGAGGTGGCAAGGGCCTTTGGTCAAGTTCTAGAACCTTTGAACTGAACCCAGGTCTTTGTCCGTTGATGAAATTGCATTAAACATGAGTAGAATTTTGGTCTTTCTTCCCAAATGACTGCAAATATTCAGATACGTGGCAGGTCATTCAGTGATTATTTTCTAGCAGAATGAGATTGTGCTCAAGAAGTCCAGAGCAAAGCTCTTTACCAACATGTAAAAGAAATGAATGGTTTCTTGGCAAGGGGAGCAAACATTTTGAAAACGGGGGAGAATGTATATATAATTTGGGTGTGAAATAGGCTCCCTTATGAATAAAGTTATCTTCTGGCTCCTGAGATCCTTACTGGCTCACAGTTAGCATTTTTGTCAGGGTTCTGGTTACTTGTTATTAACTTGGTAGGAGCTGCAGAGAATTTCTTTTTTCTTTATTTTGTGCCTGAGATTGGACCCAGGGCTGCTTTGCTGCTGAGCTACTTCCCTACTCCTTTTATCTATTTTTAATGTTATGAATTAGGGATTGAGCCCAGGGGTACTTTGCCATTGAGTGTGTGGACAGCCCCCCCACCTTTTCCTTGGGGACGGGGTACCAGGGATTGAACCCAGGGGTGGCTTAACCACTGAGCCACATCCTCTGCCTTTTTAATATTTTATTTAGAGACGGAGTCTTGTTAAATTGCTGAGGCTGTTTCTGACCTTGCGATTCTTCTGCCTCAGCCTCCCTGATCACTGGGCTTTTAGGAGTGCTCCACTAGACCAGCCCAGCCCGGCCTTGTGAATACTTAGAGCAAAGGTTCTCTACCTAAGAATGAAAATGCTGTTGTCCTTCTGTAATCCACAAATTCTGATTTAGTCGGTCTATGTGGACCTGACGTTTGCTTTTGCCATTCACTTAAGAGTCAAAAGTTTTGTTTTTTTTCTACTTCAAAAACAGTTTGTTTTTTAGTTGTATGGATTCCATTGGCTAGAGAGAATGCTGAATTAAATTTAATATTTTACGGGGCTGGGGATGTGGCTCAAGTGGTAGCGCGCTCGCCTGGCATGCGTGCGGCCCGGGTTCGATCCTCAGCACCACATACAAACAAAGATGTTGTGTCCACCGAAAAATAAATAAATAAATATTTAAAAAAAAAAAATTTAATATTTTACATGTTTGGGAGAATTTTTAAAGGTAGACTTTACCTTAAACTTCTGACTGGGAATGTAGCTAAGGGGTTGTCTAGTGGCACAGGATCCTGTGATCTACCCCAAGCATAACATGCAAAAAACTGTGCCTTAGCCCATGAAGTCACAAGTTTTCAATTCTGGCAATATAATTACGTTCTTGTTATTATTACAGCATAATTATATATCATAGATTTCTATAGGTGTTCCACATCTGGGACAATGGGGGAAATAATGGGTTAATATATATATACCGCTTATGAGGTGTGTATAGAAGCCCAAGAGAAACTAAAGGATTCTTGGTGACCTCTACATTATATAATTACTTTTCCAGTCATATACTAAATTTTTCACTTGGAAAGATGGGGAGAATTCAAAATTTGGATATTTGTGTCAATATTTCTAAAATTGCCAAGTGATTGGAAAATGCCTTTATGTGGAGAGACTCAGTAGAAGAAAACCAGTTTTCTTGCAGTTCACCAGAGATGGAAGAGCCATGCCTCAAGAAACAGAGTTCCCATGCTGCTGTGTGTTCACGGTGTGGTTTAATTTATGTAGGTCTGGAGGGTGAGCGGCCTGCAAGACTCACAAGAGGGGAAGCTGACAGAGATACCTACAGGCGGAGTGCTGTGCCCCGTGAGTAATGGCATCTTCTGTATCTGGGCTGTTGGGGAACTCAAGAACCTGTTAGGAACACTTCTTAAGGGATTTTAATGGATTCTTCAGCCCTTACAGGTACAGGAGAGGTGCTTGATTTCAGTCTCCACATCATCAGAACAGCAGGAGTCCTTTGGAAATCAAGCCCTCTCAGGAAAGCCACATGCTTTCCTTTTTCCTATTTGCTGTTTTGTAAGCTCCTTGAGGGCAGCGCTCACTCAACTGTTTTTGCAAAAATAATGTGAAATTAGCAACTGCTTACATTGACCCAGAGTGACAAGTTCACTGGGTTGGGTGCCTTTTGCATGCCAAGCACTATTGTAGGGACATGTCTGTATAATAGACAAAAGGCTCAATTCTCATTGAGCTTTCAGTGCTAGGGAAGATGGGTTTGTCAGGTGGTCTGGGTGCTGTGTGAGAAAGTTAAAGCAGAAGTGGGTGGGTGTTGGTCATATTCAGTTGGGTTTTCAGAGTCTTTGCAGAAGTAAGCAGATATCTGAAGGACAGGACAGAAGGGGAGTCAGCCAAGGGAGCGTCCCAAACAGAGTCCCTCAGAGGGCACCTAGCTTGTCAAAAGAGGGAAGATAAAGATGTCATATGGGAAGAACTTACAGTCATTCACTCTGTTGCAAAAGTTGTGATATAAAAGCAAGTTCCAAAAAGAAATTCTTACTTCTACCACTCTTACCTGCCACCTTGTCATCTTTTCTGGTTCTTCGTATGTGAAGAAGAGAGCACTTGGCCTGAGCGCCTTACAGGGGGAGAGGGTGAATTCTTCCAGCTCTTGGTTCAGAGGAAGTTGGTGATGGCTTGTATTAGAAGTCATGCCACATGGGGAACTTGGGAACTGTTCTTCAGAGAATGAGACAGTTGAACTTGAGCCACAGGGTCCTCCCTTGAGAGTGAGCATAGCTTGGCGAGTGCAGAGGTGGGGAGAACATGGTGGCTAGTTTGGTGAGAGGGCTGGAAGTAAGCAGTCAGGACCCTGAGGTGGAAGTGGGCTGAAGGGAAACTCTGCTTTTAGTGGTATTCATTGAAACCACGTTATTGGCCCTGGCTCCCCGCCCCCCTTATTCTCCATGTGACTTACATATGAAATACACATTTCCTAGCCATACAATTTAAAAACAGGAGGAAATGGGTTGTGTGTTATTTTAACATGAAACCCTTATAAACATTGATATTTTATATTGTTTTGTTCCCAAGTCTTTGAAATCTAATGTGTGTTTCGAGCACATCTTGACATAAACTCCTGGCTGCCTGTAGGATAGCCAGCACTAGATCTTTGATCTTGTCTCTCCCATTTTGCAGCTCTGGGCCCTTAATTGTCCTTAAAGTTTTCCCTTATTGAGCTCCCTCTACAAGCTTAGTGCAGGATGGGAAGTGAGGGTCCTTTGTGGCTACAGTGGCCTTCCTGGAGAGGTGAATGGTTTGGGCTGAGTTTTGAAGGGTGGTATAGTGAAAGCTGACTGTGCCCCAGGAGAGGGAAGGTAACAGTGATTTCACATTGATGTTTCTCTTTCCAGCTGGTGCTGACAAGAAAGCCGAGGCTGGGGCTGGGTCAGCAACCGAATTTCAGTTTGTAAGTATTCCCCCATTTGCTACTATAAATAGTCACTCTACTAACCTCAGGCTTGAGGCTTTACCAGTTCTGGGGATATGGTTTGGGTGGGGAGTCTGTTGCCTGTTTTTTCCCAAATAAGTTTTACATTGAGGAGGACCCAGTATGCAAACTTTAGTAAATATATGTTGCTGATGTGAGTCTCAAAAATCAGTACATGTGGCATGCTGGTATTCTGTTTTATTAATGATGGTAGTAACTCCCTGAATTTTTAGAAAGTGAAATTTGAAATTGAACAAAACACTAGAGATTGAGTGGACTCCAGAATAAAGTTGGTCTGAAATCTAATCGTGTGATCTAGGGCAGGTTCTTTCCTTTTTTAAAAATTTCTTATTTTAGTTGTTGATGGGCCTTCATTTGGGCCTTCATTTATTTATATGTGGTGCTGAGAAGCGACCCAGTGCCTCACAGACGCTAGGCAAGCACTCTTCCACAACCCCAGCCTTTGGGCAGGTTCTTTTCTGCTTCACTTTCTCATGTGTGAAACAGGGATGCTAATAGAGCAATAAAGGTACTGTGAGGTTAGTTGATCCAGTTGAAATGCAGGTCCTCCTATGGCAGGTCTTCTTGTGGGCTGGGTGGCCACATGCCCATTCTATCAGTGAGGAAGTAGGCTTAGATATTGAATGGCCCCGTAGCAATAAGGGGCAGGGCTGGGGTTTATGGCCTGCACTCTCTTGGCTGTTGGCTTCGTATCTCTCTCCAGTGATAATGAAGCCAGAAAGCATGAGAGGTACAACCCTGCATGCTACTAATGCTGACTTCATGTTATTTCTCTTGCAGAGAGGCGGATTTGGTCGTGGACGTGGTCAGCCACCTCAGTGAAGTTGGACCGGATTATTTTGTTTTGAATAAACTTGTAGCCAGAAAAAAACTTGTGTATCCATTTTTGTGTGTGTGTTATATAGCTTTAACAGAAATGGCTTAAGGATCTGAATGTAAGTGGGGCAAGATTGGATTGGTTTGGGGAGTTGTCCTGTCTGGCATGACATCATTGTTGCTGATAGGGCTGTTGTGCTTGGCTTTGCCTTGTGCCCTCTGCTCTATCCAGCACCTTCCTGCAGAGTTGTGTTCTATGGAACCCACGCCTCCCTCACAGCCGCGCTGACTCAGTGCTACATGTGGGAAAATTGCTCTTTGTTGGCCTGGAATTGAGATTTTGTTCTGAGTATCTTGAGAGGTTCTGGAAAGGATTAAAGGAAACAAATACTGTTCTTGGAATTCTGCACAAACAATTTAAAGGGACCATGTGCAAGGAATAGTGTTTAGGCAAACGGTTTTACTAATACCAATCTTAAGCCTATTCTTGGAATTCTGCACAAACAATTTAAAGGGACCATGTGCAAGGAATAGTGTTTAGGCAAACAGTTTTACTAATACCAATCTTAAGCCTCAGGATTTATAGAATTAAAGTGCATTAAAATGGCTTGAGGGCTGAGGCTATGTATGGCTCAGTGGAAGAGTGCTTGCCTGGCACATGTGAGGCACTGGGTTCGATCCTCAGCACCTCATCCACCTACAACTATGTATGTAAACTGGCTTGGGCTATAGCTCAGTGGTAGAGTGCTTGCCTTGCATGCACAAGGTCTTTGGTTCAATCCCCAGCACCACACACACCCACACATAAACTAATAGGGAGTTGGAACCCTTGTTATTCCAGGTCTTCCCTTTGAAAGGAAAAATTAGAATATTTTTCTGAGGATTTCATAAGTGGTGACCCAGTGTAGCACTTGAGAAATTGGATAAGGGCTGTATGTCCAGTTTCCTGGGGGTAATGCCGACCATCATAGTGGTGTGTCAGAGGGGCTTTGATGGGAAGTGAAGTAGACTGAAAGGATTTTTACAGTGCTTGGCACAGTGTCTGAAGGACCTTCAAATGGCCTAATGAGACGTTAGGAACACCCTTGCAGACTTTTGTAAGTGTGCTACTGGGGTTTGGGGTGGTAGGGTTGTTGGGGTTTGAGATGGTAAGCTCAGCTAGGCAGTGACTCAGGACAAACATACCAAGTTTCAGCCAATGAAAATAATAATAGAAATACCTCTTTGGACTCTGGGGACTTAGGAATAATTTGTGAAGTACTATGAGCCAAGCTTTGTATGGAGATGGACAGTTTGTAAAAACCAAAAATGGTGGTATTGTGCTGGTACCTGACCTTGGGTCTTGGTAGGCAGTTGTACTTTAGACCACTAGGTGGCAGCTGATGGCAACTCCAAATAAAGCACTTCACAGTCCTGGGAGGTGAGCTTTGGAGTCTGAACCACCAATAAATAGAAGCTTGCTTTGGCAGGAAGAGGCAGTGTTTGGGGAAGCTAGTTTCAGCACGGCCTTGGCTGCCCTGCCAAAGATTGCTTTTTATCCAATTTTTCTGCTGGCTCGAGGATGTCAAGTGGTTTGCCCGTGTTCACACGCCTTGTGATTGTTTAACCTGGATTCCACTATGAAATATTAGTAGCTCCCGCCTTTCTGTTTCCCACTGAGATCAGTGAGTGGATGGACTTCTACAGCCTTGGTGATTTTCTGGCCCTAAAATGTCACTGTTTTTCAAGTAGGGCTCTTTGCCAACCTCTTCCCTTATGATTTAAATTAGTTCCAGAATATATTCTAGATCACCCCTGACTCTGGATAAACCCCAAGGAACCTATAAAGTAGTCCAAGCAAGTGGATAAGCATGCTGTTGGAGGAGAGTCTTGCATCCTCCAGTCCCCTCCATTGATAAGTTGAAATTCCCCTATCAGTCATTCCTTAGCTGCTCAGGGATCATTGCTGGTAAGTACTCTAAGAAACAAGCTCAAAATTTGCCCTCAAGCACCTTATATATTGGTTATATATTGAGTATAATACCAAATACTACCTAAGTGGTAAATCATAACCAAACAATTTTTTTTTCTTTTTTTGTACTAGGGATTGAACCCAGGGGTGCTTAACCACTGGGCCACATCCCTAGCCCCTTATTTTAAAAGTTTGAGACAGGGTCTCATTAAGTTGCTGAAGCTGGCCTTGAACTTTGAATCCTGCCTCAGCCTCCTGAGTCGCTCTGATTACAGGTGTGTGTCATCACATCCATCTCCAAACTGAATTATAAGAAAATGTAGCGCAGGGGAAAGAAATTAAAGGGAAGCAGCCCAATGGGGTTTTGTGGGACAAAGGAGGCATGAGAGCAGATGGGGCATCTTGAAGAGTTTTATTGTAAGTGCCGCCTCGCTTGGGGAGAGTGGGTTAGGAAAGACAGTGAGAGGCCCAGCTGGAGGACTGCGTGGGCACAGCCACCACTAAGGGAAAGCTTTGGGGAAGGTTTTGGCCTCTTCCAGGGTTGCTTTCTAGGTCCATCATAGCTTGCTTCTGCCCTCCAACCCCTGCCTTACCAGCTCATTCCTACCACACAACCGTCACGAAAAAACAAAGAATTTTTAAAGGGATTTTGGAAGTTGATAGATGAAGGGTTTTTTCCCCCCCTAACTTAACATAAACTTCCTGATATGGTCACAAATCTCCTTTCCCCGAAAACTACAATTTCCTTATAACTAGTGCCAATAGCAGCTTCAATTCTCTGTGACGTAGAAGGCAGCCACCCTGCCTCTGGTAGATGCTGGGAGACAAAGAGGTGAATATAGAATCAGTTTAAAGGATTTCCCAAGAGCCAGGTAGAGGTGCACACCTGGAATCCCAGTGCCTCAGGAGGTGGAGGCAGAAGGATCAAAAGTTTGAGGCCAGTCTAGGTAATTTAACAAGACTCTGTCTCAAAAAAGGGTGCTGGGTGTGGTGTCACATGCCTGTAATCCCAGCAGCTCTAGAGCCTGAGGCAGGAGGATCGCTGGTTCAAAGCCAGCTTCAGCAATTTAGCAAGGCTGTAAGCAATCTAGTGAGACTGTCTCAAAAAATAAAAAGGGTTGGGGAGTGGCTCAGTGGTTAAGTGCCCTTGGGTTCAATCCCTGGTACAAAAAAAAAAAAAAAGGCAGGGAGTGGGGAGTGCTGGGTATGTAACTTCAGTGGTAGAGCACCCCCAGGTTCAATCGAGTATGGCAAACAAACAAGGATTTTCCAAGAAACTCATTTTTGAGGAGATCCTCTGGCCCTGAAGATAAGAGGTCCTGCTGAGAATATTTGCTGCCTAGTTCTTGGCAAGGGTCCTCAACAGGGTGGAGGAATTCAGTGCAGATTGTTTTGCATTTTCTAATTTTATTCAAATGGAATTATATAATATGCACTCCTTTTAGTTTGGCTTCTTTTACTTAGCAGCACTGAGTTTCACAATGTTGTTACAGATATTTGTAGAGGCTTTTTATAGCTGAGTATTTTACCTGTTGATAGGCACTTGGGTTATTTCTACTTTTTGACTATGGTGATTAACGTTGCTGTGAACATTTGTGTGCGGTTTTGGGTGAACCTGTGTTTGCAGTTCTCTTAGGTATATACATAGGAGTGGAGTGGCTAGGTTCTGTGGTCCTGGGTAACATTTTGAGGAAAAGCCAAACCATTTCCCAGAGTGGCTGTACCATTTTACATTCCCTTTTGCAGGTTATGAGTTTTAATTGCTTCTCATCCTTACTAAGTCTTGGTTTGGCCAGTCTTTTAATCTCAGCCATTGTGAAAGTTTGGATTTTTTCCTACAGATGACAATTCACAGAATGAAGACGGGGTAGAGGTGGTGGAGAAAGGGAGACTTTGGTCAAAGGGTACAAATTTAGGAGAAGTTTTTATATCATATTGTACAGCATAATGACTATAGTTAACATATTAATATATTAAGATAACATATAATCATATATTATACATTATATCATATTATATGTCATACATAATATATTTCAAAGTAGCTATAGAGGATTTTAAGTGTTCTCACCACAAAAAAGGATAAGTATTCGAGGTGGTAGATAGGCCAACTGGCCTGATTTTTCTCATTTCAAAATGTTATATTTGCAGGGCATGTGGCAGATGCCTATAATCCCAGCGGCTTGGGAGGCTAAGACAGGTGGATCGTGAGTTCAAGGCCAGCCTCAGCAATGGCGAGGCAAATGCTTAAATCCTTACTGCAGAAAAAAATCCACATTCTTTACAGTGGCTGAGATTAAGTGACTGGCCAGACCAAGGTGCGGTGAAGGTGAGGATCTACCTGACTGAGTTTGGGTCTGCATGGTGACCACACAGGGGCACTGAGTGGTCATGGGTGAAGCGCTCTGTCACTGGGGACTACAATACACAGCCTGCGGGAAAGGGAGAGGAAATCCATCATTGGACTGCTCAGTTCTAGAAAGGAAACTGGGACAGAATGAGCGCATTGGTGTGTGTGGGGGAGAGGGATGAAAGGGATTGTTTAAAAAGTTTCAGCCATAGAAAGCCTGGAGCCCATTTCTATTTAAAAGTGCTTTATTAAATAGAAACCCGTGATAAATGCATGGCATGGATCCAAAAGAACAGCCACTTGAAAAATAAGCCCTGCATGGTTTACTGACATATCAAAGAGGCCATTGTAAGAAAAGGGAATCTTTAAAAATAAATAAATATTAAGTGAGAGAGGATACTCGAGCTGAGGGACTAAGGAAGCCTCAAAATAGGGCAAAATTTATGGAAGCAGTGAATCCAACGGGATTTTAAAATTCTGAAGAGTCCCTGAAAGAAACGTCCAAATAAATAGTTCTAGTTTATTGAAATACACGAAAAGTTGGAGGTCAGTTTGAGGATCTGGAGGCACCAGTTCCTCAATATGCAAAAAGTGTATGGGGCTGAGTAGCCAGCTGATTCTGATAGCTTGCCACTATTACATAGAGATCTCCTCCTTCTGTTAAAGCTAAAAATATTTTTAAAATTTATACTGCAGTGGGGGATCCAATCTAGGCCCTTAGGCATGCATTCTAGGCAGGCATTCTCCCACTGAG